TATAGCAGGATATTATGAGCCTATTAATGTTGTTTCTGATAACAAGTAATCTGTTTATGTCTCTCAAAATATAGAGACTGCAAAGTTAAAATATATTACTAACACAATTATATACTGAAAGCAATGCCATTATTGATTCTTAACTACAATGCTGCACTTAACTTTTATTAAGCTTTTATTGAGCCTTTTATTAACTATATTCTGCCAATACAACAACTTAACTGTAGAAAGAAACATTTTGTGACTATTTTTGAATAAACTCCTACAGTATTAGAAACATAGTATAAAGAATAATGATTATTTTTTAATTAACAGCCTGTCAAATCGAGAGGCTTTTCTCCCAAACATATTTGACAATGGATGTAACTTATATGCCTTCTTTTGAAAAGCTTTCTTATATTCATGTTATAATGGATATTTTTTCTTCTTTCATTTTTGCCACTTTACAAACAAGAACAATTAAACTTGTGATCAATCATATTTTACAAGCCTTCACAGTTATGAGTGTACTTAAACAAATTAAAACAGATAATGCTCCTGAGAGCTTCCATTAGCAAAACATTTTTTCTTTTATGCTTTTTATAACATTTCTCTGATCACAAACATTTTACATAATTAAAAACAAAGATATTAAAATTATTCTTTTTAAACAAAAAGGGGATCTGGGCTATTACCCCATTGATAATTGGTTATTAATTTGACAATTGGCTATTAATTTTTATAATTGGCTATTAATTTTCTAAATATTAACAAAGATGAGTACACTCCAGCCTAAAAACATCCAGAGGCCCGGATCCATTACTGGATCCATTACTAATGAGGGCATGAGGGTGTGCTTGTATTTTTCAGAAAACTTTGATAAACCTGTCCGGATACCGGAGAAAGATGTCAGGAGTGTATATAACAACTCACAGCTTGAATACAGAGTATGAGAATTCGGGAAAGCACAGAAGGAGCCAATCTACAGTGACAAGTTGCCTTCCCACATGGGGTCCAGTGAAAGCTCCCTCTCATCGAGTAAGGAAGACTCCCGAACTTGTATTTTTAACAATAGTAGCTTTACTTTCTGCTCAAGTGTGTAATGTACAGAGTGCTCAGCACTGGACTTATTTTCCTCTTCCACCCTGGATGCAACCCTCACATATATGGACAAATTGGGACTATACATATACTAATAACACCTGTATATTCAGAAGACAAGAAGATCCCTATCTCCAGGACAAAGTCAATGTTGCAATTACCCTCAGATCTCTAGCATCCAGGACACCTATATGTTTTTCAAAATTTAGCAACAATATTGAATCTTGTCTTTTTCTTGTTACATCAGTTTTTAATACCAGTTTGTCTAATGGATATGCAAATTTTACTCAATCTAATACTACTTTTGAATAGAATGTTATTGTGTCAATTATACTCTCAAACAATGTATTGATAATAATGACTATATTGTACTTTTGGTAGGACAATCATCTTTTGCTATTTTCCTACCAACATTTCACACGATAGTTCCAGAATTCTGGTGAACATGTTCTTCAAATTATTACTTCCTCCTTAAGTCAATCAAAACAATTTATTGGTCTCCTTATTACTGGTTTAATCATTGTTGCTTCTTTTATTGTATCTACTACTGTTTCATCTATTGTGCTACAATCTGAAATCTAAACTGCATAATTTGTATATGACTTAGCAAAAATATATGTTTAGTACTTAATGCACAAGAAGCTATTGATATATTGTATAAAGTCAATTTATTAGAACAATCAACATTGTATTTAGCAGATAAGTTAGAACCCTTGAAAACAAGGTTGCTATTGCAATATGATTATAGATATTCATATATTTATTACCTGCTACCCTATGATGCTTCAGATCCTAATATCTCATGAGATAAGACAAGTGCCCACCTGTTGGGGGCCTGGCACAATTCTAATATTACCTTCAATATTAATACCCTCATGATATTACTGCCAATTTTGAACTGCTTAGTATGCTAATAATTGGTCTGTGGTTTTACAACATCAAATTAAAATAGATGCTATGATGCAACAAGAATTGGATGTTTTAGAGCAGTCAGTGATAGCTTTAGGAAGACAAATAGGACTATTAACAACATACTTCAATTTGAAATATGATTTTATCTGTGTAACTCCATATGTGTATTCAAATTTCACTAATGTTAAGGCAATCATTGAACAAATATTAAATAAGCTCCAGGGTGCATGGCACTCTGAAAATATTACATGGGAAATTAGCCAATTATCCAAAATACAACATGAAGTAGCTGAATCTCATATTGATGGTATTGATCCTGAAGATATTGCAAACAAATTGTTAATTTGGATAGATCAACTTAATCCTTTTAAAAATGTATTTAGCTTGCTATTGTATTTTCTACTTTGGCTATGTTTTGTGTTAATTTTGTGTTTCTTCTTTCCCTGTCTCTTAAGATAGCTCACCACAGCTTAGGCGAGATTCATGCATTTTCTTGGGCAGTGTTATTCATCATACTGTGTTTCATCACCTCAAGCTGCTTGCAAAATTGAAAGGGGGAATTTGTTGAGGGCCGGCTCTAGTGCTAGTTGCTCAGTGCTGGCAACACTAGGCATGTTGGCAAAATGCATAAGACACAACATCTGGAGCTAGGAAGACCAATGCATTTTATTCCTACCATACCTGTGAACTACTTCAAATCTGTTTTCTCAAAATCTAGAGTACAGTCAGATTATATTTGAGGTTTTTGTAGTTCAATTTTAAAGTAAAAGATTTTATAACATCAAGTTATACATTCTCCTATCCTGTTACTTGATATTACAATATATTTTCAAATATTAGCAAAGATTCTGATCAATTTAACATGAATGTACATTATGATATCAAAAGTATAGCTTAAGTACTTTTATAACATTTTAAATCATTATAAGACCCATGTGGAACTTTACATTCTGACAAAAAAAAAATCTTTTTGAAGTATAATTCTTTTACAACTGAATAAAAAACCACACTACCTATATCTTTACAGTACAAGATACAATCAAACATACCCAAATTACAATAGGAAAAGTTTACAGGGGAAAAAAAACCACATAAATCATTCTTTTAGACAAATGAAGGGGAGTGAAGGAGTTTTATTTCTAAGAATCACTTAATGCAGCAAGTTAACTATAGCTTGGGTTTGTTTTTTTTAATAAATGTTTTAAAAGATTAAACAACACTCCACAGTGTTTAGAAAAACACTTTCTTTGACCTAGGGAAACAATAAAGAAATAAATACATGTTTATCACTTAAGAGTTAAGTAAACTCTTGTGTTTCATAATTTCCACTTGAGTGATAGTCATGCAACAGGAAAGGATGTCAGAAGTGAGAAGACATTTTTAATTATTTCCTCTTCTTGAAAATAAACATCCATGGTAAAATTATGAGACATATAAAACACATTTAATATAATACATTTTGTAAATCTGACTACCTTTTAATTTGCCTGGGGCTATTTTCCCCTCAAGGAATATATATTATAAAATGCAATGATACATCTTGTCTCTTATTTTCAAAGTAACAATATCTCAGGAAGAGCAGGGAAGACAGATACACCTCCCCCTTTTTTATTTCTTCTTCCCCTCATTGCATATGTGGTGGGTTATATTTGTGGAATATGACTTATACTGTCTGAGTCAATAAAGATGTTAATTAGAGGGGTTTTTTTTTTGGCTGAGGCAGTCAGGATTATGTGACTTGCCCTGGGTCACACAGCTAGTAAGTATCAAATATCTGAGGCCAGAGTTGAACTCAGGTCTTCGGGGCTCAAAGGCCGCTACTTGGGTTATATTTGTGGAACGTAACTTACACTGTCTGAATCAACAAAGGTGTTAATTGGATTTCTTGAACTGCTTTCTCTTTTATTCCTTGTTATGAGGAATGCTTCTTTGTATAGGGAAAGGGAAATATATATTTGTGCAGGGAAAGGCAATGCAAAAACAAACAAATCAATAACATTTGAGAATACAACCTAGAATTTTGTGCGATGATAAAAGCACTCACTGAGACTATGAGAAGAGTTAGATGGCACAGTCCACAGAGTGGGTCAGCAGGACTAGAGTTCAAATTTGGCCTTAAACTTTTATTAGCTCTGTGACTCAGGGCAAGTCATTTAACCTTGTTTAAAGTTCAGTTTCTTACCCTAAATTGAGCCAGAGAAGGCAATGGCAAACAACTCCAGCATCTTTGCAAAGAAAACCCCAAACGGGGTTAGGAAGAATTGAACAGGACTGAACAGCATGGCACCTACAATTTCCTGATCCTGTTCTCTTCTGTTTTTTGAAAAAAACATTCCTGTTTCTCCTGTTGTTCCTCTCCCGTTGTTCATGATCTTGCAACATCACAGTCAGGCTCAGCAATTGTTATCTGTCAGTTCTTTCAGAAGTAAGGGATCAAGTAGGGGCAGCCAGGTGGTGCAGTGGACCAATGACATCCGAGGGTGAAAAAGATTTTCTTTTTAATCTCAATGTAGGTTTCATCATACACAGTGTTTCCACTATCTAAGAGGCAGTGAGTCAAATGAACTATTTTTTTCTAAGTCCTATTCAGTATTCCATGCTACCTTAACACAGAATATTCTTCAATGGTCCTTTGTGCTATCTTTGAGGTACGTAGCATGCCTATTTTTTTCCCAAAGAGAGGCTGAACTAGTTTTGAGTTCTTTTATTAAGTTTTCTGATCTAAAGACTTTTATTAAGCTTTAAAAAAATTGATTTCTTCTCCTCTGCCATCTTAAGTAAAAAAGAGAGAAAAAAACCCCTACTTTTCCCTTCAACCAACCCATTGCACTCTGCATGGTTGAAAAAAAATCTCAGAATCAGCTAACATAGTGCCCTTGGTGGTATAAGATACATTCAGCACCCTTAAAACCCCTTTCTACTAAGAGTTGGGAGGAGTATTTCATCTATCTGTTTTATGATGGAATTCTGAAATGACTCCTTAGCACTTTTTCTTTTTCAATGAACAGGATTTGCAGTTTCTAAACCAGATATGATCTACCAGATGGAAAGAATGGAATCACCTTGGATGTCAGAGGCAGATATTCAAAGAAGCAACTTTCCAGGTGACTACATAAAAATGAACCAGATGAGTCATTGCAAAATACTGATGTGTTGTTCATTTTAGGTCAAAGCTCTTGTAAAATGTTGAACAAAGTAGTTTATCAAAGTTTCTCACGCCTGTTAAGAGGAGCTGAGACTTTAAAAATTCATTTTTTTTACCTCAAAAAGTTACTCTTACTGTGTATCTCCTTACTGAAATGTACTCTACTCTCAAAGAAATTTGTTGCCTCAGTACAAGGCAGTTATTTCTATTCTGTTCATTGAAGATTATCTTACCATAAGCAGGCATTCTCCTGCCTCACTTGCATGAATTCATTCTCCCTTTTAAAATGTGCACATTGCTTAAGGTATAAAGTAATGTACTCCTTTTGCTTCTGAGTTCTCTTCCATAATTCCTTATGTTTTCTTTTATGATTATGTTCCTTTGATGCTGTTATTTTTTAAAATACTTAATCCTAATCTAATTCCTCTTTCTTCAGTTTATCATGTTATATATCATCCTATTTTTCTTTATGTTCTGAAATTATGTTTATAAAGGCATAACAACATGTTTATATGACAGGGCTTGTGTGGCCATAACTCCAGTATTGGACCTATAGGTTTTCATTACTTCGCTGTTTCACAAAAAGTTGTGAAAAATTTAGAGCATTCTTTGTTTTTGGTAACATTTTAAGGATGCAGACCTAGCAGTGGGACCATTGTGTCAAATGATATGAACAGTTTTGTACCACTAGCTAAAATTGCTGTGTTACTTTTAAGAAAAATGGCAGCAGTAGCTTAAATACCAATTTCAACATCACTGCCAAAATTTATCATTTTAAAGAAGTTTTGCTAATCTAATGGCTATTTATTGGTACTTCCTAATTGTTTTCATTTTAATTTCTTTGATTACCAGAGGTTCAGTACTGTTTCAGTCAATTAATAATTCTCTTGTCAAAAATACCTGTATGTCTTACTCTTATGAATCTCAATCAATTCCTTACAAAGTAGATATGTTGGATTTTTAGAGGAAATTTATGGCAACAATTGTCACATTTTTTCCCTCATATTTCTTCCTTTATTCTGTTTACTTCATGTATCTATGTCTCCCCTTAAACTGTTCAGTCTTTTCCTTTCCTATTTTCACCTCAAAGGGTAAGGAAATATGATATGATATGATATGATATTATATCATAAGTCATCTGTTTTTTTTCTGAATAGTCTTATCCTATTCAAATATCAGCCAATGAAAGTTGGATAAGGGTTCATTCATCCCCCTCTGGTAATTTTATCTCAAATGAATTCATTTACATAGGTTACCTTTGAGTCATCAAACTTTCACATAAGATAAATTGATCCTTAGTGAGTAGTGAAACTAGGGAGAACGCAAGAGAACAGCTCTAAAATCTTTGAACGACTAAGAACCTTGGGAAAGGGTTAAAAAAAAAAAGGCCAGTTTAATCAGCTCTTTATTCTTCCTTTCAGAGAGCAGAGAATTTACCGGAGAGAAATCTCCTGAATGTAATGAACGTGGGAAGGCCTTCAGAAGTAATTCATGACTTACAGTGCATCAGAGAATTCGTATTGGAGATATTCTTTATGAATATAAGGAGTGTGGGAAAGCTTTTCTCTACTACTCAGAATTTGTTCATTATAAAAGAATTCATAATGGACAGAAACCTTATGAATGTAGTGAATGTGGACAGGCCTTCAAAAGTAAGGGACATCACACTGAGCATCAGAAAATTCATACTGGAGACTTTCTTTATGAATGTAAGGAGTGTAGGAAGGGTTTCCTTTACAACTCAGGTCTTATTCAATATCAAAAAATTCATACTGAAGAGAAACTTTATGAATGTTGTGAATGTATGGAGGCCCTCAGAAGGAAGACACTATTTTCTGTGCACCAGAGGATTCATGCTGGAGAGACGCTTTACAAATGTAAGGTGTGTGGGAAAGCTTTTCTTTACAACTCAGAACTTACTAGCCATCAAAGAGTTCACACTGGAGAGAAACCTTATGAATGTTGTGAATGTGGGAAGGCCTTCAGGATTAAGACACAACTTACTCTGCATCAGAAAATTCATATTGGAGACATTCTTTTTGAATGTAAGGAGTGTGGGAAGGCTTTCCCATATAACTCAGGACTTATTTGACATTAAAGAATTCATACTGGAGAGAAATCTTATCAATGTACTGTATGTGGCAAGAACTTCATGAGTAAGTCACAGCTTACTGTGCATCAGAGAATTCATACTGGAGAGAAACCTTAGGAATGCAGTCAATGTCAGAAGGCTTTCAAGACAAAGACACAGCTTACTGTATGTCAGAAAATTCACATCAGAGACATTCTTTATAAGTGTAAGGAGTGTGGAAAGGTCATCCCCTACAACTCAGATATTACTTGACATTAAAGTGTTCATATTGGAAAGAGACCTTATAAATGGAATAAATGTGGGAAGATCTTGAGAGAGAGGATACCACTTACTCAGCACCAAAGAATTCATTCAAGAAACAAACCTTAAGAGTGTAATGCATGTAGGAAGGCCTTTGGCCTGAGGACACTACTTTATGTCCATCAGAGAATTCACACTAGAGTGAGTCTTCATGAATGTAAGAAGTGTGGGAAGATTCCCCCAGCTAACTAGGCTGTGATTCTGAGTCCCTAGATGCAATTCAGAGAGTCCTTATTTAGGCTTCATGGGAAAAGAGAACTCTGACCTCTTAAGGGGCAAAGATTTAGTGTTATCCTCCCATGGACCTTCAGGGAGCGAAAGGTTATGCTGGTCGAGCAGAGGTTACTGCTAGTAATATTGGGAGAGCCTTAGTATGAATTTTGATCCCGGGTAATCCTGGGCATATGATATGCAGGATGCTTGGGGATGACCTCTTGGCCAGGAGGTGAGCCTGAGCCTAATGAGCGATGAATAATTACTGACGGTGCTTGAGGAATATATCATAATCTGAGCTGTGTTCCTGATGTTGCTGGTGCTGCTTCTGCTCATAGTCATTTCGGTAGCCAGTGTGGACCATAAAGGCTTGGAATTATAACTAATAATTGATACAAATACAGGGAAGTCAATTCAACCTTGAAATGTACAACCAGTTCTTATATTCCTAAATTGACATATAATGCTAGCTAATGTTCATGAAGCCCTTTCTAATTATATTATACAGGATGCCCCAGAAGTCTTTGCCTCTAAGGGCTTTGAAAACTTGAATTGTATTATGTTTAATCTTCCTAGAACAGTAAAATCTGATGATTATGAAAACAGGAGACATCCTCCAAAGGATTTATATTATAATTAATATCAAATGATCATTTCTGCTTGGTCCAAACTATCCAAGCCCAGGTCTTACATGAAGTGTGGAGATACTGAAAGTTTTCTAGATCAATCTTATCACATAGATTCAAGACACAAAGGACACGGTCCTTAGTGCTCTCCAGTGTCAGAGAGAGCAAGTCACTATATTGGCGGCTCGACTGTAGGAATAGCCCTGAAACCTGCCTGTGTGCAGGGGCAGGGACCACCACTGCCACGCTCCTCCTCTGCCCAGACACCGCACATGGACTGAGGCAAGTGTTCCGGTGCTGGGCAGGCAGTGGACAAAGAACTCTGGTTAACAGACTGTCCTCTTTAAGTTTTTGTGACAGTACTCTCTCCTAGTTCTCCTGGCTATATGACTATTAAATCCATTTGCTGGGATTTTTCATCAATGGAACACCTGCTAGTTTGGTCCCCTTCTCCCCCTATACTATTTCACTTGGTGATTTCATCATGTCCTGTGCATTCAATTATGATCTGTATCATGTGATTCTCAAAATACTTATCCAGCCATAACCTCTTTGCTTATCCTCCAGGCTCACATCTCTTATGGCATAGTTGACATTCAATGTCCCCTAGACACTTTGACCTCAACAATTCTAAAACTGAAATCACAATCTCCCCTTTCTCTAGACTCTCACCTCTTTCTGACTTCTTGATTACTGTCCAGGGGACCTGCAGGGGATCACCCAGATTTAAACCTAAATGTTTCATCCTTGACTCTTTGCTCTTTCCCATCCCCTATATCCCATCTGTTGTGACAGCTTGTTGATTTTACCTTCATATCATCTCTCATATATTTCTCTTTCTCTCTGATGACATTGGCACCAACCTGGGGCAAACCATCATTACCTCATTATTGCATGATTACAGTAGATTGTTGCTCTTGTGGGTGAAACTGTCATTGCTGGAACAAACCAGAACCAATACCAAACCCCAAACTCCCAAATTTTAAGAAAAATAAGGGTTTAGTGAGTGCACCAGCAAGAGAGCCCCACCTGGTTGGCCAGAGACTCCTTGAAAGAATGAAAGGACAAAGTTTACACAGGCTTCAGTTTAAGTGTAAGGTGAATTGGGTATATGGCACCTTAGGATTGGGCAAAGCTGTTGCTGCAGGCTTGGTCAGAAATAGGGCAGGTGGTATCTTTTGATTCAACAGGTCTGTTGCTGGGCTAGTAACAAGAAAGGTCTTCTTCAGGTTAGCTATCTTTTGTAACCTGCCCTAACAGTAAGGTCTATCCTGCTATTGCAGTAGTCAAGAAGGTCACAGACAGGGTGGGTGGGGGCACACATGGTCAGGGGAGAGATAGAAGAACTGCAGACAAAATGGAGTTGCTTCAGCTTTCTCAGCTAATTTCCCTGAGATACGTCTCTCTCTACTCCATTCCATCTTTCACTCAACTGCCGAAGAGATCTTTCTAAACTGCTGGTCTGATACTGTCAGTCTCCTACTCAGTAAACTACACTGGCTTCCTATCACATCCAGGATCAAAATATAAAGTCCTCTGATGTTCAAAGCCCTTTATAACCTACCACCACCAACACCACTACTACCACCACCAAAACAATCTCACTCACACACACACACACACACACACACACACACACACACACACACACACTTCCAGTCTTTTTACACCTTACTCACACATACTCTCTTAATTCAGTGACACTAGCCTCTTTGCTCTTCCAGGAAG